CGAGGCGGACGCGGCGGGGCGGTGTTTGTTGAATCTGTCTCCCGTCGGCAGTCGTAAATGGGGCAGATGCTGTTCTTCTGCCCATCGTGTCCTTCGTTTCTTCTCGTAAAACACGGCAGAAAACTCTCTTTTCGCCCTGCCAAAATTTTGCCCAGAAATAGCCGCCCATGGTTGGGTCCAAGACTATCCCGTACCTTGTGGAGTATGTCATACACTAAGAGCACGAGGATATCCACTGCGTGAACTAGTAAGGAGGCGGGAGGAGAAACTATGACAGGGTTCACTGACCAGAACATGATCCCTCCGAGGTGGTCGTTGTGGGGATTAGTGAACAAAAGAATTATGAGATGAGCACTGAAAAGAAGAGGCCATCACGGACCTCGCGCCAGGGCTAGGCTGACGAAGGTGGACTGTGAAAGTATGAATTGTATACATAGGCCGTAGGCATACCAGGAGAGAAATCTCTTCACCGAAATGGAGTTTGTCGAGTGAGCACACGAATGGAACAATGTAGCTTAATTTCTGGAGAACTTTAACTTTGGTTGGGTCGGGCATTGCGATCCCTGGGCAACGGAGCGCATTTTTGTAATTTTGCGCCGTTCTCCGCGGCAGTTCCGTGCTTATCCTCTCCATGCCTCCCAAGGGCTGATTGTTTGGTCAACCCAAGCTGCTGCTAACGTAGTCCGTGGAGCGGATTCAGAGGCTCCTCAACGTTTCCATTGTAACTCCGTATTCCCATCTTCTTCCCACAGTTACTGTCATGATGTGTCATCCCTTGTTCCTGGATTCTGGACCCAATGACCCGTTCATCCCCCCCTGTTCTAGCAGTTAGGTACACGTGCCGGTAGAGTGACGAATTCACATCAGACGAAGCAAGCTGACTGCATCGGTGAAAACCGATAGTTCGGTTCTGTTAATAACCACCACCCCCAGGGCCCAATCTCTCATCATTGTCCCAATTCGTGTCCCCTGTCAATGTGCCTTCCCGGGGCAACAAGCCTCATTCTGCAATTGAGGCCATAGGCTGTTATAGGCCTCCCTTGCAGTATCTCGGGAGCTTCTCTTCCATGTCCCTGGATAAGAGTTCGACAGAGAAGAAAGAAAGCCATTGGTTTTTTCCTTTTGAGGCTCCGTTGCGTGTCGCATCCGCGAGACTCTCTAATTTGCCACAGTTCAAGCAAGGGCGCACAAATCAGACTGCACGGGGCCACGGGTACCTGCATGTCTGGTCACTCAGCCTCATATGCATGCCTGTCTACGACTCTATGTAGGGTACCTGTTTCATCTCCTTTTTCTTCAGGTGTGCTATATCTCTACACTAGAATAGCATTATGACCTATCCTCTACTCCGTGCCGGGCAGTCACTGTCAATTCCAAGTTTTTTGGCCTCGACACGTCGCCCACCACAATGCAGCAATCATGATGGTGTTCATCTCATGCCCGCAAGTACCACCAGCAGCCTAAGAAACCCCAACGTCGGCACGGCAGTTATGTGCCGCGTGAAATGTGATGCGTCAGCAACGGTTCCCAGGCATGGGCCCCCCCTTCCTTCTCTAGAAGCTGTCACGACTCATGAACACAGCCAGCTTGAGGTTTCCACGCGATGTCATCCCCCCATCACACTTACATACACTATGTACTATCGTCCGGTGTGCATCTGTTCGAAGTAATTAGTGCACCGTACCCATCAGCCCGAGCGGGGGATGAAGTCAGTCATCCACACCGGAGCTGTCTGTCAGCTTATGTTGGTTTCCAAGGCTCTGGTAGCTACCCGTATCCAATGATCCATTGGGACCCAGACGATGAAGATCACCACCCACCCACACAATCACACACACACACACACCGCAACGAAAAACGGTCCACGAGAGCCAAGTCGAATCATGCACGACTCATCATGCAGAACTAGCATCGCAAGTACCTCTCAAGTCACGAAATCCTCACGATAGTCGATGGAACCAACCCCGCTAGGCGTGAACCAGTCCTACAACACCAGCTGAAGAACCGTGAGAAATCCACCACACGGGGAAACGACCGTGCCCCTAACCCCCTTCCGAATCGATTGGCTACCTCCCACGAGATCTCGACACCAAATGCACCTTTCTGACAAGCGCAAACGGTCTTCCGGATCCGAACAGATATTCTGTACGGATACGGAGTAGGCGGGTACTCGGCATTGCGGGCGCCTAGGCTAGCGCGACCTACATCACTGTGACTATCGATCACGGGATAGGTGTGTATGTCTCACCGTCCTCACAGACGAGATCTTCATGTTCGATCCCGAGCAGGCTTACACTTCTCAAAGACGGCAAAAGCCCGTCTTGCCGGGAATTACGGTCGTAAAGTCTGTAGCTTGCTTTCATAAGCCTACTTTATTTGGCATCCCGACACCCTCGTGATGAAGTTTAACCCCGGGAGCTTTGACCCTTTCTGAACCTTTGAAGAAACAATTTTGAGTTCAGCGCGACAGGGGCGTAAATTGTTTTCCGGGTTTGCCCAAAGAAACTCGAAAGGGCTTCGAAGTTGCTACCGTACCATGCCAAGACGTCTGGTGGCCACAAGCAGTGAGCTGTCGAGTCCGAAAAATTCATTAAGCACCATTAGGCTTCGGCACCAGGTGGTATCGTCGGAGGAGGAGCTGGGAGCTGTTTGTCCGCGCCGCCGCCGCCGCCGCCGTCGCCAGCACAGCAGCACAGCGGGGGGCCTGTCTCTGTGTTTAAGCTTCTGTGCCTGTCAGGCACAGCCATCCCAGCACTTCCGCAGCGTCGCATTCGAGAGCCACAGCCATGTGGGTGGTGAGAGAAAGGCGGGCAAACTCGCAAAAACCGAAATGCGAGCACGAGGTGCAGAGAGTACGGAGTAGTGAGAGCAGTGCTGCTGCGCCACGAGGTTTTTTTGGATGTCCACGTGGAAACATTCGATGGCATCCTGTCCCCAACCTTTGCGGGAAACGAAAAAAGTTTACCCCACTCGCAAAGATACCATGGAGAGAGAGCCTAGACTAGCAAGAAAGGGAATTCGTAATCATCACCTGCTCCCGGTGAAGTTTGGATACATTCACAGTTACACACACGGCGAGAGCGAAACCTGCGAAGCTGAAGGTGTACGCGGTGGGCTGGGCAATTGTCCAATCACAGGCCAGAAGTCCTGGATCCCCCCATAAGCTCCGGCCTTGGCCGGCCCATGTTTTCTTTGTCTGCGAAAAAGATCACCAATTCGCCTCCGGTGGGAGACTTCGGTCAGTCGGTGGGAAAAGCTCGGCTCATGTCCGTCTCTCTCTCCCCAAGAGCGGCCGCTGGGCGGGTAGGCTCACAGGATACGTTGATTGGTAAAGAGTCGAGACTCGAGGGGGGAGCCCGTAGACGGTTTGTAGAACAAGAGATTCGGGCCTACTGAGGGGTGTTGGGCCCAGAAACAACCTTCGGAACTAGCTGTCCGTCCGTCTCCTGTGAATTCATTGTTTGCGGATGATCTAGCAGCAGAGAGCGCTGGGTCTCCCGTGCGTAAAGGAGAAACTTTTGCAAAAGGTTACACTCGCAAGTTCCCGTCGGTGAGGGAAGGCCCACGACGGGCAAAAACATGGGCGGTTACCGTAAGGTCACATCCTCGAATTTAGTGTACACGCCCGAGCCGCCGTGGGTTCCGTGTTACCATCAAAGTTCGGTCGGATCCGGGGCTTGGGGCTTTCCTCGAATTCCCAAAGGGCGGCCTTACGGGCTTCAGGACAAAAGCCTAAATTGGCTGTTTCGGTACCTTGCAGCAAGCGGCACGGCAAGGAAGAACGCGGAAACATGATTCTGTCATTTTGCGGGTAGAGTCGTCGCAAGGGTTGATGGGACGATTTAGAGATGCCCAACCGGTTACCCGTACCTTTGAGCCAGGGGTGTTGAATGGGAAGAAAAAAGGTTCACTGACTAAAGTTCCCGTCTCTGCGGAACCAAGTCAGTCAGGTGCCCAATTGTTCGAACCCATTCTTCCAACATTCTTTCTCGTAGTGTACGGAAAGTTCTTGCCTACGGACATCCAGGGGATGGTGCTTGGCATTGACTCGGCATGAGACGAAAAGATGATCGTCAGGACAAGCAAGGTATGGCAGTTGGGAACATTGGGCACCGTGACCTTGATGATGAAGTCAGAAACATGAAATGCATTGCATCAGAATGTACAACGGGTATCCATCTGCTCTCATGTAAGGCCCTTTTTTACTTCCAAGGCAAAAGCTGCCCGATCGTGGCATCACTGCTTCACATTATCGATCATCGGTACCAGAGAATTGTGTGCGTGATGATGTGAACCCAAAAGAACAGAGCCTGGCAAGCAGTAAAGATATGCCAGGGTTTTTGTCTTTCGTGAATAAAATTACAATATGAAGACGATGCTATATCGGGGCGTGTGTCGTGTTTTTTTTTGGACCAGCCCGCCTAAACCCAGTTCACACCCCCATCCCCGTGTTCCCTCCCCTTCAGGCTCGGTGTGCCGCCGTAGTAGGCAGGTTTCCCACCCTTGGCCTGGGTTGACAGTTCGCCTGTGCGTGCGCGTGCGTAGAAAAAAAAAAGGATCCCCTTTTTTTGTGTATTCCCCCAAAAGATGAACCGCGTCCCGAAAAATGACGTCAACTTGAATGCCCCCATGCCGCCCTTCCGTGCACCTCCAAGTGCCGTAGTCTTACAGAAGAAAATTGGTGAGAGGGATTCAATCTGAATAGCCCAAAATATGAGAAAAAAGGGATATCAGATAAGAAGTGAGACGTAAATCAAGAGGCTCGCTGGGAAAAAGGCAAAAAGAGACACTAAAAGACAATAAAGCAAGAAAAGATGCGCCCGCTGGTCGTGAAAGCCGTTAAAGCCGCCCTCCTCAGAGGTGTCTCCCGCCGTTTTTGCTGCCCTAGACAAGGTGATAGGAAATATTGGAAGAGTGAATGGTGTTGATGAAGTATTCGATGATGAGTGTCGATGAGATGTTGTAAGGGAAAGTGATGAAGTTGAGTAGATGGATGTTCCTTAGAACAACGTATTGGAAGTTCGGGCGCTTTCTTGCTCAAAGACAATGCCGCGCCTCTTCCAGCCGCCGCGTTTGATAAAGTCCTCGACGCTATCGAGGGACTTCATTGCCGGTCGTCGTACAGTCGCAGGCGAGCCGCGCTTGATGGAAAAGTTCTGCCATTGCGATTCCCTCACAGGCCTCTCCTCGTCGACGAAGCTGCCGTCCTCGGAGGAGTCCTCCTCCTCGTCGTCATCGTCATGCTGAGATGCCAAGGTGTTAATAGTGGACTCGGACCAGTGGGAGCGCGGCAGCTGCGGTCTCGTTGAGGCGATGTGCTGCTGGACCTTGAAGAGGAAGTAGTCGTCGCCCTCGGCGGCGTGTTCCCGGGATCTCTCCTGCTGCTGGATCGGCGTCCGCGGCGAGTCGACGGGCGGTGCGGGCATATCGGGCATGGCGGCGGCGAAGGAAGCCTTTGCCTTGTCTTCGGCGGCAGCGGCAGCCTCTTGGCTGGAGAAGTACGAGTTGATAACCTCGTCCTCGATGGACTGGGAGTTGTGGATAAAGGGCCGCTCATAGAGTCTTGGTGGTGCGTGGAAGGTCGGGTGTAGTGAGAGAGGGTCAAAGTCGAGGACTCTTGTGTGGCGCATGGTTGCTGTTGAGCGGGTTGATTGTGTTGATGAGGAGTCGCTGCTGGAGACTGAGTTGGTGAGGGAGGGCTTGCGGGTGTGGAGAGCCTCTGGGTGACGGGCTCCCTTATTGAATAATGGTGAAGGCATGGTGATAGTGTGTGTGTGTGTGTAAGAGAGAGGTATAGCTCCTTCGAGATAGTGACCAGCCAGTTGATGTAGGCTCCTTGTGGTGATCGATATATATAGTTGTTGGTTTGTGATCCAATCCTCGTTGTTCCTATGTTTTCTCCCTTGTGTATCCGGGCTGTCGGTATTTGATGTGCCGGGAGATGAAGTACGGTGGGAGAAGGAAGCTCGCCAAAGAAAGAAGAAAGGTGAAAGTGAGGCTGGAGGGAAGGGTGTTGTAGATATGATATGTTACCACGAGAGAAACTTTATTCTACCACACGGGTATGTAATGGATAGTCTTCAAGGAGTGTGGTTGTTTAATGATGACAAGGATGTCAAGTGGTTGATGGGAATTCCGGGACAGGGCATTTCGCAGCTTGGGAAACGAAAGCGGGCATTGGGTCTTATTATAAAACTTCATCATCCATGACGGCCGAAACCAGGATTTTCATGGGGAACCACATCTGCCTGCCAAACGTGGGGATGAGCAAATCGGTAAGCAGGCACAACAGGCAGGCAAGCAAAAAACCACTACTTACCTACCATACACCACACACCCTACACCCCCCCCCCCCCCCAAGCGGGAAAAGCGAGCGGACGCGAGGATGGGTACGCTATGCAGCAGAGAGAGACAAGACAGGTACACGCACGCCGCACACCGCACAAGTGGACTGGGCACAGCACGCCGCGGAGACCAAGGTCCCTGACGATCGAGGCTGAAAAGAGGATAGCCTACATAGACGTGAACGGAGCAGGGGTGGGAGGAACGAGGAACGAGGAAGCAGGACTCTCACGCTAGTGAGTTGAGCCACTAGCTTTTGCTAGGGTGGTGGGGAGGAAAGGGTTCTTGAGGAATGGGAGAGACGGTGCCTTGCAGGTTCCGCATGTCGACGAGGAATTTTGGGATGGATGGATGACGGGAGCAATCAGTGAGTGGGAGGGGTTCAACTTGAGAGGAAGAGGCTAAGAGGATCAGGCGCATGCCACGCCGATGGATAATGGAGGGTGGTATACGTATCCGAGGTGCGTGTGTGAAGATTGTTGATGCTGCCCAGAGAGACCGGACACACGGTAACTCCAGCTGCAGAGACGGAAACAACGGAGAGAGTTTGGGAGAGAGAGATGCTACCCAGAGAGAGGGAGAAAGAGATCGAGAGATCTCGCGAGAATGGACGCCGCCCGTCCCGGCCGGCGTGAATGTCTATTGCTCACCGCCATGGACGCGAGTCAAATCCCAAGGGCAAGGCTGCGCTTGCGCGGCGCTACCTGTTCCCTTCCCTAGTTTGTTGCTCAGACCTTTACCGAATTGTCGTATCGCAAAAGGCAGTACATTAGCTACACCCAAGACAAAGCGAAAGTGGACAGAACAAGAAAGGAAGTCGTCATTCCAATTCCAACTCGTCGGCGGTCAGATGTGCCGTCTGAAGTCATGCTGCGGATGGTCGTGCGTGGCCCTTCTTCGTCTCCGGGAGGAACAGCAACGAAGGAAAGAATGCCGAATGAGTGTATCTTAGGTCCGAATTGTGCTGGACGAGAGACGAGGCGACACTAGCGTTCCTAAAACGGGGTGAATGTTTTTGTGGTTGTTTGGTGGTTTCTTCGTGGATTTGGAAGACACTGGGAATGCCCACCTCGAAAAACGAAGCACACGATGGAGCAAATCACCAAATTTAGGGCACGGCCAAAAAGAGAGTTCCGGGGACGGGGACGGAAACAAAAGAGAAGGAAGAAGAGAATTAACCAGGCTGACAGCTGGTTGAGGAAGATGAACAGGGGACAGGGGGGGCCAGCAAGGCGGTGTTGGTCAGCCTGTGACTCCTGTGAGCCCTTGAGTACCTAGCTGCTTTTCCAGGTTCACCCGGTCAAGAAACTCTCTTCTTGACTCCTCTCGGCCCTGGAAGCCTGAAAGGAACCCGGAGAGTACGTAGATAGGTATAACTGCTCGCTTCTTTCTAGCTCCCCAAGTTCAGTCTCGACGCCACGATGAATGAAGATACGTACCAAAGTATCCGGAAGGGCGGGCACGTCCCACGCTCTGATGAGCATTACTAACTCAACGAAAGGGCACCTTCTACAGCAGGTGGCCGTGGATCTCAGGCAGATCAGCGGAGGGCACGCTCCCAAACGGGCGCTGACGGCGACGTTACGATACGTCATCCGTTCATCTCTTCCGTCTGAACGCTACCTACGTAGTAAGGGAAGCATAACGAATTTCATCAATGTCAACGCCGTCTGATCTTTTTCCACGCTCGTTCTACCGCTTGATCTGCCTCTTGCGTGTCTTCTATGGCTTGTCAGGGCTTTCTAATCGAATGGAAGCCAGAAGGTGATCCCAAAGGATACGCTACGGCTTCAGATACGTTCCACAGGCGCGAGGCCGTGTGTTTCATGTCTCTTGCAATTGCAATCTTCGATGCTGATCGCGATAATGTCTCTCCCAGTGAACCTGTAAACTTTGAACGGGGCCAAGGGGCATCTGTCTGACGGTAAGGTACCTGAGAAGAAAGAGCTGGGGCACTATTTTTTTTTTTTTTCGTGATCCCGCTTGCGTACGTACTTTGTAAGTATATTCTCCGGATGGATGCACAGCAACTGCTTTCTTCTCGTTTCGCTGAGCCGGTCCCCCCCGGATGGTGATGTCTTGCGCTTTACACGTACGACCACAACAGCAATGTCGTGAACACCCGATTTTTGGACCCGTCCCTGCCGGCGAGGCACGCAGCCACGTAGCCAATGACCCGTCGCCATCCAACTCTGATATCTCGGAGGCGGCCCTGGACGCACACCTACACCGACGGGAGGGGAGGAGGTGGGGGTGTGTATGTGCATGTGTGGCGTTGCTTCTCCAGCTCCTCTGCAAATATAACCCCATTCTCAAACAGTCATACAAGCACGACAAGGACGTGGGATGAAGCCTGAAAGAGGGCCCGTCAGCCAACGAGAAGCTGATTCCGAAAAAGACGAATTGACAGCCAATCGGCCGGTGAAGATCACCGATCAAGTGGTTCCTGGTCGTTGCTGGTGTGGCTGATCAGCAGCGCAGGCGCTCCTGCGATGACCACTGATCGCCTTGGAACACTCCTTGATTTTTTGCCCACCGCTTCGAATCCCAGTTACGCATTTGTGCTTGAGTTGCTTGATCCTGGAATGGTTTTTTGCAACTTGTTCTGCGGAGTCTTTTCTGCGTGATGCCCTCGCTTCCATCCCGCATCGTGCATCGGGGGACCCTTTTGTTTTTGCCTATCTTTACCCCGTTGCCAATGCTATGCCATGCGGTTACGGATGCTCATCAACGGCCGTGAATTTCCCCCTTCAGAAGAGATTCAGAGAAACGCGATGTCGGACCGAGACAGGGGCACCACCATCATCCGTCCTTTCAACACCCATTTAACCCACCTTCCACATCTTTCTCCCTTGCCTCGAAAAGATAGACGCTGCTGACGAACCCGATACCGTGACCGTTCAGCAGGACACGCCTGATCTGATCCTGATCTAACCCCCCCCCCCCCCCTCCCCCCAAACGTCGACGATCCCACCTAAGCCATGCCCAAAGAGTGCAAAACGCTGCAAAACGCTGCCGCCTAGCGTGAACGGAAGTGGGAAAAGGGAGGGAGGCACTGGGAACTTGAGGAGAGGAGGGAAAAGAACGACAAGCCACTGCCGCAGCTGCTGAGTGGCTGACGAACCTCAAGATGTGTGTTTAAGTGCGATGGGCATCCATCTGAGCCTCTTTAGGATTGGCGCGCGGCGGATGGCAAAACGGACACACACACACACACACAAACACACCACACACACTCCTCTTGGTAGTACATCCGCTGTACTGCGGAAGCGAATGCAAGTCTTCTGGTCTGATGTGATGGTACCTGAGATGGAGCTTGGGAGACTAAGCCGCGAACGGTCGGCCATCTTCATCGTGTTCCTGCAGCTAAAGGCAAACGGTGCAGAGATCCGTTGATAAACTTGTCACACTAGCATTGGAACAGACGAGATTTCCCCTCTTTCTCTTTTGCGTGATGAAAGAAGCGGTCAGATATCAGAAATGCGAAATGCGGTCTTTTTCCCAAGACGACGAATCGGTAGCAGCCGCCGTTCGCATGCGTGGGTGAACCGAGATGGCCAGCAGGATAAGTTCATCAAGCACTCTATTTCTTTGCGTTTCTTGCAACCGCCGCTGCCAACTGTCATCGCATATCCCGCATGCAATGGTCTTCACCCGCAATGAGTCTCACATGCCGACTGACAGCTCACCAGTTTCACCTGCCCTGCTCCTTCATTCTGACCTGCTATTGTTGGCAATCCGGTTCCGTCGGGATTCTCTTGTTTCCAAACACCGTTCGGCCTTCGGTAGGGTTTCCCCACGCCCACCGGGCTACACTACCTACAGCATCCGACGCCATCCGGTCTTGACCCCTCACTTCCAGCTGATCAAGCAGCTTCTTCCCCCAGGAAAAAAGGGTGCACTTCCTCATTACCATCCCTGGCAAGAATCTTGGTTAGCTCCGAACCACCAAAGTCCACAACCCACCAACGGGGGGGGATCCATCATCCTAGCAAGTTCGCAGCTTGCTCAGCTGATGTCTTTCCCCTCATCCTCCCATCGTGATGCACCTCCCAAGAACCTGTTCAATAGATTTCGATAGGTTGGGGGGACTACTAGGTCCTGAGGCATCCCGAGGAGGTCACAGCACCAACTTCCATCTCGATCTCCCAGTCGCGTCGTTGAGAGCGAGAACAGCTCCCCCTCGAGAGATTCAGGGAGTGGTCTCGCCCTTCATTCACATCACGATCTCGTAATTTTGCTGTTCTTTGGAAGAACCGATCTAATGGTGGTGGTGGTGTCCAAGTCTCCAAGAAAGCCCAAGAAGCAATTCGCAATCATCTATTGGAGGTTTACCGCCTGAGCCAAGTCCACCAGACCGTCTCATCGCGCACACCCTCTTTCTTCAGCTCAGCATTCTTCCTCCCCCAATCATGAGATTATCTTTCAACCTCCCTTTCCATATCTCGCCATTTCCTCCTCCCCCCCACCGCTCCGGCTGTTGGGAGACTTTCTGATGGCCTTTGCCAAGAAGTCCCACTTGGTGATGCTCAGACTCGGATTGTGTATATTCCCGGTGAATCGGAAGGGCGTTGCAAGGGAAGAATAAGACGCGAAATCATCTCTAAAACGGCGCCGGACCGAAAAAGTCTTTGACGTACTATATCCGTAGATTCGAGTTGAGACTTCTCCAGCGGAGACCGACTCACCTGCCCACGGTTCACTCCCTCCACGCATCGTCTCGTGACGATGCCCAGGAATAGGAGATAGTTCGGCTTTCTCTCCCAAGGCTGCGCGGCACACACCACGCTACCATGATACGGTCCAGAGTACAGCCTTGCGTCAGCAATCCACGCAAACGAATCGTAAGCGTTATCGGCCTATTGGTCTCACCGAAGGCGTTTCTGCGCCACAAAGAACTCCCATTCGCTTCAGCCAACGGCATCCCGTATCAACGGGGGGCTTTCGATCCCAGGAATACAGTCAGGCTATTCGGTGACTCGACCAGACTAACTGATGACTCTATCAGAAGCTACATGATGACAGACAGGGTTACTTTTTTACTATTAATACTAAAAAAAACACGGATATTCGTTCCGCAGGCGCCCGTACGAGAAGCTGCCAGGCCGAAAACTAGCTCGTTCCCACAAACGCTCTCCGCGCACCCGCCGCCCCTGCACACCTCGCGCAGTCATTCAGCCCTTTGGAATTCATCGAGTCCAACATGTCGTGCTCTCGTTCCCATCAGAAAAGTCGACAAAGTGGCCCGCGGACCCCCATCAGGACCATCCTGCCGGGCTCATACTATGGGGGCGTGGTGGGAACGAAGTGACGGCATGGCAATGCCCCGTCGATCCCGATCGACAAGGCTTCTTTTTGGTTTTCCTCGACCGCGGTACCAACTCCGGTCTTGAGACGCTGGGCCTCCTGAATCTTTCTGTGACATCTCCGCCACTGGCCCTTGAGTGACCTATGCGAATGTTTCTATCCGCGCATTTTTTTTTCCTTCCTCATCTCGCTCTTGGATTCATGGTGCGACTTGATCGCCCGATGAGAACACGAAGACGTTTTGAAACGGAACAGCCACCCCTTCCCGCGCTAGGGCCGGTGGCTTGCTTGACAGCTTCGTTCAGCAGAGGCTGAAGTTGATGCGTGCGACAAGGAAACCGTTGCATTTCACCAGTAGTTCGTTCAGAACGACAGCACCTCGATCGTGATGGGACCTCACCCATCCGTTGACGTCGTCAGATCCAAGCAGTGGCTTCCGATGGCCAGAGGATGGAGGGCAGGCACCGCTGTCTTGCGCATTGAATATGTGAGCACTCAGCTTATATGCCGAAGAACGTTTTATGACCCAAATTTTGGTATTCCCACGCTACTAGTCGATATCGATTGAGACTTGCTTTACATGCATGATGTTGAACTTGAGCGTCAGCCTGTACCTGGAATGCGCCTTCGCGTGTAGCGCGTTGTGAGGCGACCAAGGGAGACAGCATGCGCTCCGTCACTCTTCCCGGTGCATAGGGGCTTGCTTCACCAGCACCAAGCTTAACAATAACACCAACTTTTTCCAAGCTCCCAGCTTCTCAATCGTGTCTCTGATGGATCAAGACAGTTGTTTCATGTTCGTACATTCAACAGGGAGTGGCCGCGCTCACTGCGGCCACCCCAGATCGACCCGTGGGTGCGTCATCCCGCGTGCAAGCGCCCAAGGGAGCCGCCCTGATGTTGTGCATCTTGGTTGTCCCAATAACGACGGTCCGACGCCTCCCCCTAATAGGGATCTTCTTGTGCATGCCTCCCGTCCCGTTCCACGGCAGCCACGGCGGCCGCATGAGACCTGCCAGATAATGATTGACAACGGGGTTCGGAAGTGACGTTGAAGGCAACGCTTAGCTGGTCTTGAACCCTTGGTGGCTTGGGGGATTGGGCACGAAGTGGCTGATTGTTGTTGTGCGCATTGATCAAGGTCAGACGCTGCCGAGATGAAGATGTGCACATTCTTTCGTCAACAATTCTGCCACAACAAGCGCCTTGCCGCGGTCGCGTTCTTGCTTGGGCCGAGACTCTGAGCGAGGGAGTTGGCCGCAACGATCGTGACCGTGATTGATAAACAAACTTCCTTGCTTAAAGGGATTTTTTTCATCGACGCGTTTATTCATCCCATCTCGATGCACGCATGTTGACAAGCCTGGCATTTCGAAGTTGTGCCAACGCATCGTAGCCTTCAAGTCGATCGAGATGCAAGGCGTATCGTGATGGCCTCTCTACTCGCCAATGATGCCGTCATGTTCGCCGGCGAATCGCTTGACACGCTTCTGCTCCCAGTTGTCGATGTCCTTGGCCGCAAGTCGCTATTGTCCTCAGTTAGTCCTGCTCCATACATGTCCAACTTCTCGCCAAGCTGCTTCAACACTATGACTTACGTAGTATTCCTCCTTCATGTCCACCTTGCGTGCTGACCGACGCATGTTCAGCTCCTCATCCCTGGTAACCTGTCGCACCCTTCTATCGTACTTTTCGTAGCGGATCGCTGTAGCTGGCGTCAAGACGAATGAACCGGCAACCATAACGGCCACGAAAGGCAGACCGAATAGGAGGAATGGCCTCTTAGCCATTTGCGCTCGGTACTTGGCGGCAAAGGTGTTAGTCGCCGCCGAGGATTGGAACTTTTTGCTGTCGAATACGGCCATGTTGAGTGACGTCTAACAAGAAGAGATGACGATGCGATGTAATTAGACGCCCAATCGGAGTATTTTGGTTTATGGGACTCGGACTGATTGACTTTCGATGAAGTTATTCACTCGGCCGATGGAGGTATCGTGGGCTCTCGACAGTTGCTTCAATTGTTCGTTGCGAATGTGCAGCATGGAGTGGTCTGACTCTGGATTAAGATGATGCGAAAATCACCAGGAGAGGGAACTTGAGCTTTGCGCTGAAAGTTTCCCGGAGCTCCCAAGAGAGTTTGAGCTCGGATCCAGAGGCCCCACCTGCCCTGGCCTGTCCGCACGTGCCGCATCGCGTTATGTCATCTGGTCGGACCGGAGATGTTACGTAACCATTTGTAGGCCATCTCATCGTCGGTCCGCTTACTCATCTTTCCTCCACTCATGGATATGGATCTCTCATTCACCCACTCACTCATCATACTGAACAATCAAGTTCAATACACTTTCACATCTCTCTCGCCAACTTTATAAGCATAGTCAGAGACCCTCGTTTTCATCAAAGACACCCAAACTCATTGTACATTGATCAACCCTGCCTCACCTGAACTCCAAGACATTAGCCGGCGCCTCGAGGCGCCGTAGCGGCCCGCATCGGTCTATCGGCTTCCTAGGAAGGGTGAAGTAAGGTACCCGCCGCATGGTATCTGGTCCCGATCTAGTCTCCTGGGGCCCCCAAAGTCTCTTGAGTTCCATGTACCTATGCCTCCATGACATGACCCGTATTATGAATGAGATCATCAAACCACAGTTTTGACATTACTTCATGGAGCTTATAGCCCTATCTCGACTCAACATCATTAAATTGCCGACGTGGAACCCTTCCGAACGGTCTCGACCAGCTCCATCCGCATAACTCGTCGCCGGGGAGAGGGTCCCCTGTTCTCCATCAACCTCAAGCAAGGCTCGACCTGCCGTTGTTTCCCCCGGAACACCAACTGTCATCACCACAAATAGCATATCCGTACATACGCTTGATCTTGGTGCCATGCCGCACATGCGAGCGGACCCGCTCTCCAAGAGACCGTACACGTACCCTTCTGAGCCACTCCGTCCCTACTTTGTGTGCCATACTCTGCACTTCGGTCTCATCTGAAACTAAGCACGCCTAGAGAACGCCCTTCGCCCCCAACTACCACCAGCCATGCCCAGCGATGTTCCCCGCAAACTTCCCTAGCGGTGGCACGTCTTATGTCTTGGTACTGTCCTGCCTACTTGTTTCTCGTCATTTTGAGCCGCCAACGCTAGACGTCGTGAGTCGGGTCGTCACCCGTTGTCCAGAGACAAGCCCCACGGTCTGCCACAAACAAGAGCAAGCGCTATCTCCCTCAAACTGGATGGGCCCCAGCAGCACCAGCTAAGAACTGGCAAGTAGGAACACGCAGCAACAACTGACAAAGAGGCCAAGGGGACCAAGGGGCACTCTGGGTTCCCGAAAAGCTGGGAACCGTGCCGGAGGAGCACTGACCAAGCGGAAACTTTGGCCCACTGCACAACACAGCGTAGCACTTGGCCCGCAGGCCTTCAACACTGTACCCTCTTTTCGCCCTTTTGCTACACTACACATGGTGTCCAAGGCAGTGCCTATAGCTCTTTCACGAAAGTTGGCCCGGCCATCCCCTCCATCCCCCCTGTATGACACACTGAAAGCCATTTCGTCGGATGATTTTTAGGCTTAGTTCTGCTTGCCTGTCGGGCCACAAGCCGACTAGGAGCTCCTGAAGGGGGCAGCCCTGGATAGGTGTCACGGTCTCCGAGGCTTGTTTCGTTTCGTTGAGGCGGACTACGCAAAGCAAGGCAAGTGGCAGTGGTCTGCTACTCTGCTGCCGCAAAGGAACTTGCCGGACTAGCCAAGAGCGTGTGTTATTAATGGACC